CAAAGAGTAACACACAACTGTGATTGTGTACTTGGAAGACAGTGTCTCGGAATTGAATCTAGAACAGGGGTTGGTGAACTTTCTCTGTAAAGAGCCAGGGACTAAAAATTTTAAGGCTTTGCAGAACATATTCAGGCATTCTTCCTTTTATTGTGCTTTGCTTTATTGTGCTTTGCAGATACTGCTTTTTTTTTTTTTATAAATTGAAGGTTTGTGGCAACCCTATGTTGAGCAAGTCTATCAGAGCCATTTTTCCAACAGCATTGACTCACTTCATGTCTCTGTGTCACATTTTGATAATTCTCACAATATTCTAAACATTTTCCTTATTGATGTGTTCATTACAGTGATCTGTGATCAGTGATGTTTTATGTAGCTTTATAGTTGTCTTGGGGCACCACAAACCTGTCCATGTGATGGTGAACTTATTTGATATATGTTGTGCATGTTCTGGCCATTCTCTACTCTTTCCCTCTCCTTGGACCTCCCTATTCCCTGACACACAGCAATGTTGAAAATAAGCCAGTTAATAACCCTACAATGACCTCTGAGTGTTCAAGTGCAAGGAAGAGTTTACACATCTCTCACTTAAATTAAAAACTAGAAATGATTAAGAACAGTGACGAAGGCATGTCAGAAGCCACGACAGACCAAAAGCTAGTCCTTTTGCACCAGTTAGCCAAGTTGTGAATGCAAAGGCAAAATTCTTGAAAGAAATTAAAAGTGCTTCTCCAGTGAACACACAATCAATCAGAAAGCAAAACAACTTATTCCTGATATGGAGAAAGTTTTAGTGGTCTGGATAGAAGATCATACCAGCCACAACATTCCCTTAATCCAAAGTATAATCCAAGGTGCTCTCTTCAGTTCTGTGAAGGCTGAGAAAGGTGAGGAAACTGCAGAAGAAAAGTCTGAAACTAGAAGAGGTTGGTTCATGAGGTTCAAGGAAAGACGCCATCTCCATAACATCCAAGTGCAAGGTAAGCAGCAAGTGCTGATTTAGAAGTTGCAGCAAGTTATCCAGAAGGTCTAGCTAAGATAATCAATGCAGGTGGCTACACCAAACAGCAGCTTTTCAATGTAGATGAGGAGCTTTCTATTGGGAGATGCCATTCAGGACCTTCATAGCTAGAGCAGAGAAGTCAATGCCTGGGTTCCAAGCTTCAAAGGACAGGCTGACTCTCTTGTCAGAGCTAGTAGAGCTGGTAACTTTAAGATGAAGCCAGTGCTCATTGACCATTATGAAAATACTAGGACCCTTCAGATTTATGCTAAATCTACTCTGCCTGTGCTCTGTGAATGGAACAACAAACCTTGGATGACAGCACATCTGTTTATGACATGATTTACTGAATATTTTAAGCCCAGTGTTGAGACCTACTGCTCAGAAAAATAGATTCCTTTAAAAATAACACTGCTCTTTGACAAAGCACCTGGTCACCCAAGAGCTCTGATGGAAATGGACAAAGAGGTGAATGTTATTCTCATGCCTACTACCACAACATCCATTCTGTGTCTCATGGATCAAGGAGTAATTTTGACTTTCAAATCTTATTATTAAAGAAATATATTTCATAAGGCTATAGCTGGTGATTCCTCTCATGGATCTGGCAAAGTAAACTAATAACCTTCTGGAAAGGATTCACCATTCTAGATGCCATTAAGAATATTCATGATTTATGGGAGGAGGCCAAAATATCAACATTTACAGGAGTTTGGTTGAAGTTGATTCCAGCTCTCACAGATGACTTTGAGGGGTTTAAGACTTCATGGAGGAAGTACCTGCATATGTTGTAGAAATAGCAAGAGAGCTAGAATTAGAAGTGGAGCCTGAAGATGTGATTGAATTGCTGTCATCTCATGATGAAACTTGAATGGATGTTATATCTTAAGGATGAGCAAAGAAAATGGTTTCTTGAGACGGAATCTTCCTGGTAAAGGTACCATTAAGATTTTTGAAATAACAACAAAGGATTTAGAATATTACATAAGCAGTTGATAAAACAGCAGCAGAGTTTGAGGGGATTGACTCCAATTTTGAAATAATTTCTGCTGTGGATAAAATGCTATCAAACAATGACCACATGCTATAGTGAAATCGTTCATGAAGGAAGCATCGTCGATATGGCAAACTTCATTATTATCTTATTTTTAGAAGTTGCCACAACCACCCAACCTTCAGCAACTGCCATCCTCATCAGTCAGCAGCCATCAACTTTGAGACAAGACTCGCCACCAGCAAAAAATACTATGACTTGCTGAAAGGTCAGATAATGGCCAGCACTTTTTTTAATAAAGTACTTTTAAATTAAGGTATATGTACATTTGTTTTCTCATACATAATGCTTTTGCACACTTAGACTACTTTATGGTGTAGACATAACTTATTTATATGTGCTGGGAAACCAAGATACTCATTTGACTGGCTTTATTGCAATATTTGCTTTATTCTGGTGACCTGAGCCAAACTGACAGTATCGCCAAGGAATACTGTAGTCTCTGTTGCATCAGCTTAACTCCACCCTTGAGAGGAAAGCAGACACAGACAATTTACAAAACTTTATTTATAAAAACAAACAGCTGGCTTTGGACCCTGGATCATAGTTTGCTTTTAATGGGGTTTTCCTTGATGGTGAGAAAGTTTTTACAAGCAGGTGTTAAGTAGGGCAGTCCTAGTGATTTTGACATAATTAGTAATAATACCCCCTTTCAGTTTCAAAAGAGTCTTTGTCAATAAATTAATATTTTGCCACCCTAGTATTATGTCACTTTAAGATTACTAATGAGACTAAGATGAAATAGAAATGCTGGTTTCTGTCCTTCAATTACTTGTTTTGTGTTAGAGCAGTCAGGACCTTGACCTGTTTGCATCAGGTGACCTTACCATAGATCCTTACCCTGTTCCACTCCAGGAAGAAGGCATGGCAGTGGAGAGAAGCACCAGAAGGGAGGGAAGAGGAAAAGAAAACAGAGACCCCCCCACCAAGGACTATCCAAAGCTCACCTTTCTGCAGTACTGCCTGTGTGCTTGGCACTGTACAGGGCTTATATGGACCATCTCAGAAAACAAACCCAAATCCCATGAGTTGAGTATGATTCTAATCCCCATATTATAGATGATGAAACTGAAGCACAGAATGTTAGGAAATTGCCTATGGCCACACAGTTAGTGGTTGGATTTGGATTCAAACCTGGCTTGTCTGACACTAGAACCCAAGCTCTGAGGCTGACCCAAGTATGAAATAATTAAATCCAATAAATCACTCAAGTGCAAGCAGGACACCTGCAAGCAGGTGGAACCACACTGTTTTCTATGGATGTGGCAGACATTACCTTCCACCTTACCTGTATTAGGTGTCAGCATCAAGGAAGTCAGCATACATTAGGTAGGACGTTTAGGCAGAAGTAATGGAATTACAGAATCTTTAGGCCTTTTGTTAGGAAGAAGCTTTGGAGGGACTTGAGGCCACAGGATGCCAGAGGTGTGAAGGGCATCCTTGGACTTTAAGGGATATAGGGCTTGAGGAGGGCTTGAAGCTGCTTCCTGCCCTGGAGCTGCCTTTGGCCAACTCAAGGCTTTGTCTCTCTGGGCTAAGGGTAATAAGGGCAGGGGAGTCCAGACTTTGCTTCTCGCTGGTCATTACCCTGTGCAGCAAGTGGAGCAGTCAGTGTTCAGCAGAGCACTTGCCTGGGCATTAAGACACGCACTTCCTTGGGACACCTGTGCCTTCTAGCTGGGGCAATGGAGAGAGTGTGGCCCACAGTAACGTTTGGACTCTTACAGGTTAGACCCCTGTATTTCTAGCTCAGTGATTTTAAAGAGAACATCAAGTTGTATGTGACTTTCAAAGGGAGTTGCCTTCTTTAGATAAACCTGTGCCAAAAGGAAATCTTTAAAAATAATTCCCATCAACTCTTATTATTTCTGGGTGGTATTTTTTGTAGTTTCCAAAGCAGTGACCCTAACCACAATGAAGACAGTCACTTGGAGTTTCTGCAAACTACACACTTAGAGAAAAGTGCAGAGAAGGATGCCATGGTTACAAAACTCCCAGGGGTGGGAGGTGAGAGCAGGAAACCAGTAGGTATGCCTCCTGTCCCCTGATTTTAACATGTACTCTTCGAGGTGTATTATAGTTGGTGTATTTTCCCAGACTTCCAGTGTTGCCCCAGGATAATTGTCTAAGTTCATTTTGGCATCAGGACAAATGAGATGATGTTTCCTGTTTGCCTGACTCTTGCCCCAACCTCCTCTGTTCTGTCAAGCTCTTGGCTAAGTTCTTTCTCTTGTATTCCACATTTTAACTGATGTTAGGACCTGAGTGAAAAATCTGCAAACAGTTAGCTTTCATGTTTGAGCATTCTAGTTGGAACATACCAGTAAGTTAAAGTTCTCATAGCATGGAATGATCACCCTCTGTACAATGCATTAAACATTTAATAACTGTACTAATAATTCTGAACACTTAATGGGCCTCATGGGAGCCTTAATGTGGTAAAAAATGTTATTTCTTTATTGTCAAGTTAACTTGCGTCAAATCTAGAGTTCTTCGAAGCAGCTTGGAGGGGTTGAAAGTTTATAAGCTTAGAAATGACTAGCATACTCTGAAAGTAATAATTATGTAAAAAGAGACAGTAGACATAGAGTGAGTGTTGACCTAGTGCTTTGTGCATTTCTCTGCTGTTTAATACTTTTTAGGTAGGGGGGAGAAAATTCCCCCACTACGGTGTGTTCGCTGTGTGTCAAGGTAAGTGATTGTGAGCGGACCGGCAGCACGGCCAGCATGGGAACACAAGTCTTTCTGGCCACGAGACCTTGCTCTTTGATTGGCAATGTGGACTGTTTGTATTTGGCCCCTCTTGAAGTATTTTTTTAAAAATACAGCACCATTGGAAGGAAAAATCAAAGGCTGATGTGTATTGTACTAAATTGAATTCACATTTATTTCTGCATTGAAGCATTTTTTAAGAAATTGTTCTCTGGTGGAACAGGTGTGCATTTGAAATGATGCGGGTGCTTTCAGAAGCTCAGGAAGAACTGATTAATACAAGAACAAAGACCAATAATGTAATTACCAGTTTTACTTTGTTTTGGCTTATTTAAAACAGTCTTGGCTCCTACTCCAAATGAAATCAGTCCAACACTTACAATTATAATGTGCATGAATTAAGGACAGGAAACTGGTATTTCTTCAGTATTTGGAAGGAAATGATGTCCTCTGAATAAAATTCATGACATTAGCATAGCTCATCAGTTTGCTAGCCTGAACACTGTGCTTGCATGGTACTTTTTCCCTTAATTTGCAAACCTTGATGCTTAGTTGAAAATGTCAGATATTTGTGTATATTAACATCACTTAGCTCTGCTTGTATGGTTGAAATCAGAATATTGATTAGTTCATTTTTTAAAGCTGCTATTTTGGGAACAATAGAGTCTCTCCCCTGATATTGCCATGTAGTCATCTGACATCTCTCTCCTGCTTCTTGAGGTTATTTTTATCTACACCACAATACGTGGCCCAGTAGTGCTGTCTTTGCCATGGGTAGGTGTACACACACACACAAAATGCAGTTTCTGGCAAGTTTAATCTTTGAGGGGAGATTTAATTTTTCACTTCAGAGACTATAACAGGCTATTGACTGTCGTAGATAGATAAGTAGTTAAAGTGATTGAGCAAAGCTTAGGTATGAATGTGAGGCTTATAAACTGACTCTGGGGGCTATTCTGAAAGAGAAACTCCTGCGTAATAGCAGCCTTCAGGAATGAACATTAGGCCTTATAAGATGTGTGTTTGTTTGCATGTGTCAGTGGGAATGTTTTATAGCAAGTCAGATTCTTGCTTAATGGCCCATCTCCATCAGCATGGCTCTAACAAGGAGAAATGCAAAACTCTCCCTGTTGAAGACGGCCAGGAGGCAAACATCAAGCAATAAGCCTTGTTTTTGAGAAGGAATTTGCTGGCATTAGCAAAGAGAATCCCAAAGTGGCTTAGGTTGTCCTGGTTGGCTTTTATTCATCTTTCCCTTTAACAGAATGAAAAATGTTTGGGCAGTTACAGCTTTGTTCTAAAGTGCCCCATAATTTTGTCTGTTTAACATCCCAGTGGATTTCTGGGACCAAATATGGTGTTGCTTCTCAGAGAGGTCTCCTTTTCTTTCTCTTCAATCTATACAATATTTAATAGATTTATTTTGTGGTCAAGAATATCTTTTAGGTCAATGTGCAGCTTAAAACCTGATAGACCAATGTGTTTAATAAAATAATAGCTGAGAATGAACGTGGGAGGAGCTATGTTTGTCCACTCTGATCACTTTAAATTGTCAAGCCATTGCATTTGAGAAAGTATTCATAGGCCTTTGTGGTACTGCTTAAACCAGTCTTTTCTCTCAGCTCCACGCCATTATATCTTATATCTTTGTTTTCATATACACCATACAAAAGAAGACTGCTTCTTTAATATCTGCCCTCCTGTGGCCAATGCTGTACCAGGTTTTATAGTAAGAAAGGCCAGTCCCCTCAGTCTGGCTTGACACAGAGAAATTCAGAGGGAGAAGAGGAGAGGAAGAACAAGACTTGAGACAAAAGCTAGAGATAGGCCAGAAAATCATGCAGGCTAGGGATAAAGAGGGTGTTCTAACAGATATGTTCTGTCAGTAAGTGTCTTCCCATATATTAGAAATGTAAAATGCTGACATTTATTAAAGAAATGGAAGCATAAGGTATTTGCTTTAGAGAAGTGGGACTCCTGGCTCCTTTGTCACCACGTTCTTGACCACAGGTGCTTGCTAACTGCTTGGTGCCTCATTTCTCAGTTAATTTGGAAGGTGGAGGTAGGTAATGGTCTCTGCTTCATAGAACTGATATGAGTAATAAGGGAGGAGAGCATTTCAAGTACTAGTGCAGTGCATGGCCTTTAGGAAGCACCCACCAGGTGCTGACCATGGGGCCGCTGTCTCTGGGGGTGCTAAGTGACCTGTGAGGGCGCTTATTCCCAAGGAGTCTGGTTACAGCTTTGTTGATATATCATGAGTGTGATCCTGAGCAAATCTTTTCATCTCTTTAAGCCTCAATCAATTTCCATGTCTGTAAAATGGTCTCCAAGTCCCTTCCAGAATGAGAATTTTATTTTTTTAAGATGAAATTGTATTTTTCCCAAGAGCAAACTGAGAATGAGTAGTACTTTAATTAATAGTTCTAAGTTATTTAGAAAAATAGATAGTCTTCTAGAAGGCACACTTATTAACTTTAGTAATATGTTGATTAAACTGACAATCTTACTTTCCTGCTGGAAATTGAGTGTTGTCCTGACAGGTGGCCATTCTCTGACAGATACTAGAGGCCTTTCTAATGAAGACAGAGGATGTCTGCCTAACACAGATGATTAGCACTGGTCATGGAAAGGAAGCAAGGAATTTGTTTTTTTTTTCCTGCTTGGTGTTCTGAAAGTAGTATTTATCCAGATTCTCTGTAATAAATTTACTTATTACATTAGAAATTTTTTAAAGGACTACTTTATTGAGGTATAATTTACATACAATCAAATGCACCCATTTAAGTGTATAGTTGAATGAGCTGACAAAGGTTTACATCTGTGTAATAATCACTGCCTTATAGACTTTTAAAAACAGCTTTGTTGAGCTGTAATTCACATATTATAAAATTCTCCTATGGAAAATACATATATAATTCAGTGGTTTTTAGTATGTTCACAGAATTGTGCAGCCAGTAATGTAATGTGACTTTAGAGCATTTTCATGATCCATCAAAGAAACCCCATAACCATTAGTCACTCTCCATTCCTCTCTGTTCTCCCACCCTCACTTCTAGCCTGGTCCCATCAATCTACCTTCTTTATAAAGTTGCCTCTTTTGGACTTTTCATGTAAATAGATCTGTATAGTATGTTCTCTTTTGTGACTGGTTCCTTTGGCTTAGCAAATTGTTTTCAGGGTTCATCCACATTGTGGTATATGTAAGTACTACATTCCTTTTAATGATTGTATAATATTCCATTGTGTGGGTAATACTTTTTATTTGTCCACTCATTAGTTAATGGACATTTGGTTATTTCTACTTTTTGGATATGATGAATAATGCCACTATGAATATTTGTGTAAAAAAAAGCTTTTGTGTACACTTGTATGTTTTCATTTCTCTTGGGTATATTCCTAGGAGTGAACTTGGTAGATCATGTGGTAACTGTATATTTAATTTTTTGAGGAATTGCCAAACTGTCTTCTGAAGTGGCTATACCATCTTACATTCCCACCACCAATGTAAGAGGGTTCCAATTTCTTCCACATCCTTGGCAGACTTATTGCTGCCTTCTTCTTGATGATCGCCATCCTAATGGTGTGAAGTGGTATCTCACTGTGGTTTTAATTTGCATTTCCTGACTGGCTAATGCTGTTGAACATCCGTTCATGTACTTATTGCCCATTTGTTTGTCTTTCTTGGAGAAATGTCTATTGAGATCTTCTGTCCATTTTTAAATTGAGTTATTTGTCTTTTTATTGAGTCATAATAATTTCTTACATATTCTAATCAGATATATGATTTACGAATATTATCTCCTATTCTGTGGATTGTCTCTTCACTTGCTTGATGGTCTGCTTCAAAGCACAGAGGTTTTTAATTATGACAAAGTCCAGTTTATCTGTTTTCTTTGTCACTTGTGTTTTTGGCATTACTTCTAAGAATCATTGTCAAACCAAGGTCATGAAGGTTTATGCCTATGTTTTCTTCGAAGAATTTCATAGTTTTAGCTCCTACATTTAGATCTATGATCCACGTTGAGTTAATTTTTGTATATGGTTTGAGGATGGGTCCAACTCATTCTTTTGCATGTGGATATCCAATTGTCCCAATACCATCTGTACGAACATATGTTTTCTCTTCTTTCCTTTTTATTTCTTTCCTCCATTTAATTGTCTTGGCATCACATTACAGACTTTGAAAGAAAAACAATAGTTTGCTGGCCCACTCCTCTCCACCTTCTATTCTTCACAGAAATGATCACTCTAAATGCTTCTAGCAGTTTCTTCTGTGTTTTACTTATATGGCATGCTTATATTGCAATTTATTGAATATTATGATAAAACTCAGTATATTTTAGACACATTTTTATATAAATTCATAATGTTTCATGATTATAATATTTACTACTGAGCCAAGTACTATACGCTGATTATATTTCTTTTCCTGTATCAGTTCTGTTTTCCTTTGCATTAATTGCTGTCCCCCCCCATTGCCTTGTTTTGATTCCCTTGTTCTCTTCAACAGGCTGATGTGTCTTCACCCTCCAGCAGGTCTTTAAAGTGTTTATCATTCCAGTTCTCCCCATCAGACCTGACAATAATCTTTCAGTTCTGTGTTTCCCCATTTGTCTCTCTGTTTCTCTCTTCTGGGAGTCATTGCTCCTGGGTTCCTCTCTTGCTTCATTCATCCCAGGCTGGTTGCTCTCTGGGCAGGATTGCTGTCTACCAGCCACTTCCTGTTGCTCTTCTTTTAAGGGTTCCCTTCACTGCTCCTTTACCTTGGACCCCCTGCTTGCTAGCTCATCATGAATGTTTCTGTCAGAGATCCTTTATATATAATTGAGGGACTTTACATAAAATCCTTGAGCTAATTCTTTTTTTTTTTTTTTTTACCTACTCATGTCTACTGAAAATGAATTAAAATCAGTTTAAAACCTGAGTCAAGAAGAGCTCACATACCCAGAGCGGCAGTCTTATTCACCAGGACTGTAACTCTAGTAACCGAGAAGTTACCAGGAAAAGACATGAAGTGGTGTTCCATCCCCAAATATGGCCACTAAGCCTCGAACACTTTACTTGCCACATCTGTCTTCATTCAAGTCTGCTCCTCCTTTACATATAATTCTAAAGTGCTTGGCTTTTAAGGGAACAACAGATAATAAATTGAACATTTTAAAATTAGGAGCAGAGAGAATGCTAGAGGTAGGCATGTTATGAGCAGTAACAAGTGCCAGTTAGCCAAGGGAACAGATGGGGAATTATTTTAAAAAGTCAGTATTTAATTAGTAAAGACCTGAAGTACACACCATTT